TAGTGGAACAAAAGCGCTATTAGGACGCAAATTTCGTCTTCGTCTTCGTTCCATATTTGTCGTACCTTTTTCTCAGCCAATTAGCAACAAATTGACCTCGGGTTTTCGGCATTTGGTCGCATTTGGGCCCTAGATGAGCCGAATCATACTTAAATTTTCCCATAGTTTTCCCGAATTTTCCTACAAATTTTCCATAATTTCGCTAGTTTGCTTTTTTATAGTGCTGATACAGATTGTGTTATTATTTCCTTTCAGCTCAATAGTAGTACATTTAGAGGAGTGGTACAGTACACACTACTTTCTGTTAGTAAAAAGTTCATTAGTTGCATTATTGTAAAATACAACATGTGAAAAACGCGCTAAAATTACTTGGCCATGCCAATGATTGATATCTTGTTTCACAATGCATTCTTAATTATTTTTATGCAATGTTTGTTAACAGTTAAATATTGGACGTTTTTTAAAAGAGAATCTGGATTCTTTTTTTTTTCGTTCTATAGGAGAAAATATTTGTTTAGGTCATGACTTTCTTCATGTCTCTTTCTTGTCAGATTGGTGCAAAATATAAAAAAAATTACTAGTACATTATACGGTATATTTTTCTCCGGATGATATTACAAGAAAAGGCAGATATCGGGTTATGTCGACGAGTAGTAAGATAAATCGCTTCCATTACGTCGCGTCACCTGTAAGAAATATCTTTTTGAGTTCCAAGTCCTGTATCATGCTGTTAGTGGGTTATGAACAGAAACGTGGTATAGATTTGTGCCTTTAGAAGTTTATGACAAAGTAAAGGGATTTGTAGCGGTATCTGTAACAGCCTCCGGACAGGCGGGATCACTTTTGTCTAATGGGATGCAACATGCTTACGAATTTATAGGTCACGGGTTCTAATCACCAACAGATTATAATTTGCGTAATAATTTAAAATTACGCTGTCTATCCTTTCGCAGAAAAAAACCAACTTGGAGATAGTAATATAAATAGTCAGGAGTTACTTTGTTTTCAGGTTACATTATTAAAAAATTCCAGAAAGTAAAGTCTGTTTGCAAACCTATTATTTTAAAATTATAAAATATTTTGAAATTTTGAAGTCATCTCTTAAATACTTAAAAAATACTCAATGTTTAAAACTTCATAATTTTCTCTCAAAAGAATCATGTTTCTAGGATTATTGGAAATAAAAGTTAGTTGAGAATTGAAAATCTGATACTTTGCAGAATTTAAATCATTACTTTTTTAGCCCAACTCGAAAAAAGCGTAAGAAAATGTTTTAAAATATTAATTTTAGCATTATATTTTTAAAAAGACATAACTAGAGCCTTTAGGCCTAAACCTGTTTAACTTTTACAGTACATATGTATAAAAGTATCCATTAGAATTTTTAATACTCTATTTTGAAAAGAAAATGCATTATATATAGAGGAAATTGAAATCTTCAAAAATAAAATCGAATATAAATATACATGTAAAGTTTGTAAAGATATAGAACAAAAATTCTAGTGAGGGTTGTAGACATTTTGGTGATGACATTTTCTAAACAGGAAAAAAATTAATAAAGTGCAAATCTTCTGAGTTACATAAACTTTGTGAACAGAAACAAATATTAGTCTTAAGAAAGTCCTCGTTTTATCAATTTCAGTTAAGTGACCATAATAATTTAAGAAACGTGGAACATGTTTGAAGAGGTACAACTTTAGTAGTGGAAGTTAAAGTTAGTAAACATTTCCCACTGAAGGAGAATTGATTAATATTTTTAAATATAGAAGAATGCGTGAAAATTAGACCGAAACTAACACATCCCTCTTATTTGTTTATTTGTATATAAGTTTGTTTATTGTTCATTTGTTTATAATGTTGCTTTTTTGTTTATTTGTTTATAAGTTGCTTTTATAAGTATGTTTTTTTGTTTATTTGTTTATAAGTTGCTTTTATAAGTTTATTTTTTGTTTATTTGTTTATAAGTTGCTTGTATAACTTTATTTTGTAAACTTTTGTCAAATCCTGTTGTTTTGGCAGCAATTTTTGCTGCCAAAATAAAGGATTACAGAGTCAATCATTTTCTAGATATCGGTTTTAATTTTACAGTATAATAATATTTATACATTTAATTTTACAGTATATACGGGAATACACTCTCGATCAGTTGCTTTTTTGTCTTAAGAACAGTACAGAAATTGTCTGGACATTTGATACATTGTGCATTGGGATGCAGTTTTACTTCACCGTTTCCAATATACAGAAGCTCGTTAGAAAATATTTACGCCAATGGATCATATTGCAATAGTATATTCGCAAGTTTATGGTCAATAGAAGTTTTTCAACGTATCTCCATAAAAACGATTGTTTTAAACATGCGCTAATCTCGTGAGCAAACGTATATCGAAGAATGACTGGCAGTTTCTGTCGTAAGTCAGACATTAGTATGACAAAGCACTCGAATATGTTTTCTTTGTCGCTTAAATCATGCGGAGTCCTATGTCATGCTTCGAGTAAATGTTTATGAGCCACGTACACTCGCCTAATTATAATTGAATTAATTTGCAATACCATCAGCCATTCACTTATATTTTTGATGTTACATGTTGCGTCTTGTTTCTTATAAATGTCTAATGGTATCCTGAATGCTGAATATGCAGCTTATCCACCATCTAACAAATTGGCTTGAATGCCTTACGATGCAAGTGGCCAATACGATTTTCTTTTTCAATTGTATTTTTGCAAGGTTGCGCCTGCAAGCTCAGTAGCTATAGGGAATGAAAATCTGGAAGTGAGAATCGAACGCAAAGCCATTCGACCTCATTCCGGCAATATCCGAATTCCGAATCGCGTTCCCCATACCGAGACGCACTCAATGCACACTTTCAATGCCGCATCTCCTACAAGTTCGATCCCTGAAGGGGGGGGGGCATTACGATCGTACAGCATTATCCAGCAACGTTACGGTAGCTTCTAATACAGTCGACTCTCGATAATTCAAACCTTCGATAATACGAAACTCTCGATAATTCGAAGTATATGCTCAGTCCCTAGAAACTATTTTGGTATTTTGAACTAAAATAATACATTTTGGTACACTCAATATTTCGAAGTAAAATCTGTTGCTGGACAGGCTACAACGCGCGATAATTCGAAGTTATCTCTTATAAAACTCTCGACAATTCATGTACAGCCATGTAGCAAACAGGTTGGGGCTTACAAATTTCGCGTTGTGGCCTCTCTGCGTGTCTCTCCTGAAACGTAACCCTCTTGATGCCCATTTGTCTGCTACCTCTCCTTTGTGTTTTCCAGTTCCTCAGGCGAAAAGATACTTTTATTGCTTTCTTTATTCAAATGGCTTTTAATCTACCTCACTTGTTGACGGCCGTCCATTTCTTTCGTTTAATACGTGACCGTGCTACACATGTGTTCAGATAGGATGGTCCGCTATTGTGAAGAAGAGATGTGTAGGATTATGTATGCATGTATTGAATGTATTTTCTTAATGCAGGACTTTTAACTTTTGTATACAATTTACGCTATATAATATGTACTTTTTAAAAATACTTTAAAATAACTTTATACATATGTACAATTGTTATTTTATTGCACAGTTTCAAATTTAAATGTGTTAGAAAAAACTTATCTTTGTGTATTTTGGGAGTTTTTTTTCTACCTTCTTGATTGTTCGAACTCTTGATAATTTAAAGCTTTTCATTGGCCCCTCCAACTTCGAATTGTCGAGAGTTGACTGTATCTCATTTCGGGTTCTTGTTCTCCTCCCAGAAAAACACCAGAAATGCACTTTTCATACCCCAAAAATTTTAAGGTAAACCCCTGCCCCACCCTGCGTAAAATATGGTCGGCATATTTACGGAAATTTCTTGACTTCGATTGAATATTCGAGGATCGGCTACCCCGAAATACATCAGGGACCCCCTTTTTGCGGCTCTAATGTATCACATTTTGCACTAAATGAATTTTAGTTACTTAAGAAAATTTTAGAAGATATATCGAAACCATTTTACGGAGAAAAGAGTCACTATCATTATACTAGCATCAAACGTATGAACATATTTAAGTGATGTATTCTTGTATGAAATACAATTTTCTCTGATTGTATATAAAATAAGATAGAATTTTTGAAAATCGTCTAGTGAAAACTAACGAGAAGTCAACAACAAATAGAGAAAAAAAAATTATATTCTTGTTCAACTATTTTTGAAATGCATTTTTATCTTACTTTTCTGTTATATCTTTAAGGTAAACATTGTAACTCAATATAAATATTACGATGGAGATTCAAAACTTTTGTGTGTTCCTTTTATCCAACACAATCCATTCCATCAAAAGTCTGGATGCTCTCCTAAAGCATTGTTATCCCGAGTTGTTTTATTTCTTAAAAGAAATTTCAGAATGTTTTCAGAAAGCATTTATTGTAAGTACTCTAACACATCGTATAAATGTATTTCATATTATTTCTCGGGGCCTTTTTACAGGAAATAAAAGCTCCTTGTATTTCTTTTTTTTATTATTATTCATCAGTTGATATTTGTACAAAGATGTACTCGAGAGGAATAAAATGTGGAAAAGATTTTCTTTGAAAAAGAAAATTGCAGACGGTGTTTCAGTTAGGGCAATGTAAGAAAGATTCGAACATCTGTGAGCTAGTTATAACTTCGCCATCATCGGGTTGGTAAATTTTGATTTTCTTTTTTTTTCTTTTTTAATATTTTCTTTTTTTCAATTCCTACTATTAGTTCACACTCTCCCTATGAATATTTATTTAATTATTTTTATATAAATATATACTTGTTCAAATTTTCAATCGTTAATAAAATACTTTTTATTCATTCACTCAAGCGCAAATACAATCTTTTAAACTTGTAGTGGATGACACTTGATGTTAATATAGTTTTTTTCAGATATTAATTCATTAAGTCTATTTAGTTTATGAATAAATAGGAACAAACAAAAATAATTGTACACCACCATATATAAAAAGGATAATCGCTCGTTGTACTCCTGTAGCGCAATGAATAGCGTGTTGGACATCTGATCCAAAGCTCGTGGATTCGAATCCCACCTAGGATGGCCTAATTTCGGAGAATGTGATTTCTTTTTACTATACTATTTTATTGGATTAATTAAATTTAATTAAGGAATAAATAGTAACAAAGAAAAATAATAGTCCAACACCATATATAGAAAGAATAATCTATAGTTAAAAAACTAAAAAAACACTCTTTTATAGTTAATCGAACTAAGTTGCAACTTTTCCTTTTAGTAGCCAAATCAGGAAATGGGATCTGAAATGAGTCGCTTGATGCGGGATGGGATCTGAAAAAGGGGAAATTGTTTATCCTGATGATTCTGATCAGTACAATGGAACAAAATTATTAAATTACTGTATTGTCATTAATCCTGGACAAGTGAGCAAAACCTCAAATTAATCTGATCTTCTAAAGTGGGTAAAAATTGAGTTCAAAGTTTCCGTTACATCCAAGTGAAGCTTATAAAAGAATGTTAAAAATAGAAAATTCCAAGGAAAATTGCTTTCTATTTTGCCACGTTATGTTGTGATTCTCTCATATACATATTTATATTAATTGCAATTATTTAATAAAAAAGTAACTAAAATAAAAATTTTCTTTGTTGACCTAAGTAGGAATTGACTAATTTTTTTTCTTACTTGTTAATTATTATTTTGCAGGTAAACCAAAACGCAATACCAAGATTGACAAGATAATTAAATTATTAACCTACTCACATTAAACATACAGCATTTTGCGAGTCTCGAAGACGATGCAATTAATATTGAGTGTTGCCGATACGCCTGGAAATAACCGTTGCTACACACCATGGTAATGAAAACAAGAGGCTTGGAATGTCTTGATAGGGTAAAGTAATCAATATTACATCCACTCACTACCAATGTAGGTTGGGTGTAGCAGCAGAAAGTCCATGCATTACCAGTCGTTCTCCAAGTTTCGACCAATTTTTTTTATAGGAGATGGATCTGGAGAACATACAAGCTAAAGAGGATGCAATGTAGTCTGGTGGTGAGGAGATGTCCTCAGCATTGTTGGATACATGTGGTCGCACGCTGTCCTGTTATTGGGCAACAAAAACTCAAAGTTATACCTCTAGCTGTACTTATTACCAGAAATGTGTACTAGATAGAGTCAGGAATGCAATCCAATACTATCCCCAAATCAAAATACCAATGTGGCTGAGCATGATGCAGCAATTAAGCCACTTTTCTCTACTATTTCCCAAAATTGTAATGTGAGAATGTGGTACTGTAGACACAAGCATGATTCTTCTTTAAAAACTGCGTCCCCTACTTGCTTACTCATGCTTGCAGTTGAATGCACCATTGCACACGCAAACACCTGAAGCTCTGAGACTAAAATATTCGCATCAACCAATGTCTTGCGGGTATTCCACTTAGTTATATATGACACGTGTAGATTGATTAAGACTGCAGATTAATTGTGCCTGGGCACTAACTGATGTGCAACATATCGTATTTGTTGTAATATGATTGATTTCTTTACGTGGTCTAGCCAAGTTATCATTTCCCAGCAAATTCTTGATATACCTATGTGACCATGCGGGTCCAATCGACTGCTGACAATTAGTCATGAGACGAGTTCTACCCGCGGAAATTCAACTAATCCTCTTGGGGAAACTATTCTTTAACTGTGAATTTTGGTTAAAAACCGCTTTCAGTAGGGATGTTTTAATGCTAATGTAAATGCTATTTAAACACTGGCATTGGTGGTATGAGGTTAATCGTGAAATCTCGGAATAGTAGAAAGTGAATTATGGCTAGGTAGTCGTGCGGTTTGAAGTTAAAATTCATCTTTGCATTCACCCAAAGTTGTGAAAGAGCATAGAAGTGGATTTGTTCCAGGCTGTCATTGTTCGAGAAGTTGTAGAAGGAACAACGATCAAAAATGTTTTTTTGAAGAACCTCATAAGTTAGATTAAGAATTTGGATTTAAGATTGCTCCCAAGGTTAAGAAATAAGATGAAAATAGTTCATACAGTGTTAGATCTGAAATAAAATTAACTATTTTTAAAATCATATATGCTTCTTCTACAACGTCCACTTCACTGATAAAGTCCTTAGATTTCAATAAATCTTCAGCCATTGTAGCTCCCTGAAAAGCTGAGTATATTTAGTTCCATTGATTGTTAACAAGTTTTCGTAAGAGACAACGCATATCTTCTCACGCAACGATTCCAGTCCAGGGAATCGTTGCGATGTTTTACTGCGAGAGATTGCAATAATGCACAATTGCAACTGTATTGGTGATATCATATGAAACAAATCACTTGGCTGTATTTCAACACGTCCAACATTTTGGTTGCCAACTTGACGAGTTATCTTGAACGTTGGCGTTGTTGCGATAGTATAATTAATTTATAACAGCAGCATGAAAATGTTTATACATATAAAGATAGAGAAAGATTTTCATTTAAAGGAATATGAAAGAATAAATATAAAGTGTATATATAGAGAAAATAGTTATTTGGAATGCAAAATTCTAAATTTCTTTGCGATTTTTTTTTTAATTTATAAGAAAAGCTGTTTAAACTTCGAACAATTCACAAAAAAACTTCTTTTCTTTGAAAAAGAAATTTTTCTTTGAAAAGAAAAGAATTATTTTCTGTTCGTTCTCATAAATTTTTCAAACTGCAATCAAACGTTTCACAAAAAATCATCCTCATAAAAATCATCTAGATAATCATCATTTTTAACTTCTAGCTGAAAAGGCATACCAAAAGTAAAACATTACAAGAGGGGAGTTGAATATAACATTATAAAAGGAGAAAATAAGATGCAAGTAGCAATTGAAAAATCTAGTTATGTATCCTAGCTATTCCAACTCAGAATGTTAATTTTAGTGATAATAAATAAGTAAAGGAATTACGGTTTTATCTTTTGCATGCCGGGCACAATTGTTTTCCTGTAATTTTAAGCTACCTCAGAATGAAAATTTTATGAGAAAAACTCCATAAAATCCAGTTACTCATTTTATATATGTCTAAAGATGTCCGAAAAAAAGCTAGAATTCTGTTGAAGAAGTAGAATATGCAGAAAATAAAACTGCACTGAAAATATTACACTAAATAAAAGAATAAGTTATACAAAAATTAAAAAAATATATTATCAGTTTCTTTTAACAGTGTTTAAAAAGAGCACAACTCATTTATTATTATTAAAAGTATCCCTTCAATATCTATGACATTTTACAGCAAACATGTGCTGAATTAATTAATTCGCGCTAAGAATATGTCCACAAGACGTTAAATAGAATGGAGATGTCTAGAAAGGATATGCCCTTTCAATAGCATACACAGATGTGCGGTTTGGAGTAGGTTTTTAATTTATACCATAGAAATTACCCATCGGCGCTTTCGTCTATGTCTTTTTCAGATCTCTCCGCTAAAGAGGTCTGTCCTTTTATCAAAAAACTCGTCAAAACAAACGAGCTTTTTAAATTCAATGAATAATGAAAAAGAGGCAAGATGGAAAAAGAGGAGATGTCAATTCATGTGTCGAAATTAAAATACTTCTTCTTATCATTGTCTTGTTTTTTTGAAAATTAAGTAAAAATGTTTACACTATAGTTATTTAGAGCTTCACACTTTAAGGATTGAGTTTGCTAAAATATCGAAATATTAATGACAAATGCATTAAAAAAATTAAAGGTTTCTTATAAGAGAAATCAAATGAATTTAATATGGCAAAAAAAAAAAACAATCAATTCTGAAACAAATATATGTAATGGCACAAAAAATTGTTTAAAAAACATGCTTCTTTCTGTCTCTATGGTTTAATTCTACGGAAGAAAGTCAAAAAGTAACGGAACTTTTGCAATTTATTTTTCCAAGGTTTAGTAACACCGCTGGTATCCAGCGCTGAATGAAGGGTAGTCGGCAATACGTCTGTGTGACATGTCACTTGTCTTTCGTTGTAGGCATTGGAATGTAGCAGACCTTTCAACATGGCAGCTCCATTGTTAATTTGCACTGAGAAGAAAATAAGGGCAGTGATTCGCTTTTTTGCGAAAGGTGCGAAACCTGCGCTGTATACTAGTCATCCCTTCAACCACTATACCCTCAATGACGTGAACATTGTCCTCAATGGTTGACGTCAAAGGACGGCTCGATCTTTCGTAGTCACTTAAAGAAGTTCTTACCTGTTTGAGGTACTCTATCCATTTATTATTTAATAAACCTTTTTTTAAATAAATTTATTTACTTGTAAAAATAATTAAATGAATTGGAGGGAAAAAACATATAGTCGCTTGCGTGACTCGAGCCCTATCCGCCGCGTAGAAAGCAGATACATTACACATACGCCACTGCGTCGCTGGAGGCAATTAAAACTTAATAGTATAAAAGCTAAGCATGAATTTTGAAGGTTATATTCTCCGAATTGACTATCCATTCGGTGCTACTACATTCAGAGTTGAACACCCTTTTGGAGTACTACTATTACACAAAGTTTCGTCCCTAAATGAATTTCCTTTGTCGTGTCCTCCCCTTGTGAATGCTTACATTTTATAATACATATGTGAGACATGTATGAATCACTTGGCTTCAAAATCAAATGCATTCAGTCAAATCAATCAAATTAGTAATTAAAATGTATTACATACACTCTGTAATTCCATGCTAAACTTTTCACTTTATTTGAAATGCTCTTTCCATACACTTTCTTCATTGAAAAATAACGAAATAAGAAGAAATTTTTATTTGTTCTTATACAAAAATATCTAACAACAATATATATCAACACATTTCTTAAGAAATCTAATTAATAGAATTTTCAATTCATGCCTTTGTTTTCATGAAATATTTTCACTATTTTATTTTTTATTTAATATATTACCAAAAAAATCCTTCAAGTTAAAAAATTCCATATGTGGACATTCGATAAAAGCTTTATGATAATTTTTTTTTATTTCCATTATTTTAAATTGGTACATGATTTAAGTCTTTTTGTTGCCTTTTAAAAAAACAAGTTCAAAGTTAAATTGCAGGACCTGCAGAAATACTGATAACTCATTTCTCTT